TTGAAAACGGTATGGGAAGATGAGTGAGGAGGGTCTGAAGGGCTAGTTTAAATAGTTTAGGCTGTAGTCCTATGCATGCTTGTCTAGGAGTAAGCCCTATTGAACACAGTGGGCTTAAGTGGAAACACCTAGGATTGTGGTGTTAGTGCTCCAAATAAGGTTTCCCTAATGGTAAGTTTTACTAGGTGTTATACTATGGTTATAAGGGACATTTCCCCCCATGCAGTTGCATAGTATGCAGCTCTGTACACCCCAAGAAGGAGCCAGCATTTTAATTAAAAACTACGTAGCAGAGCCAAAACCATCTTAGATAAAGTGCATCTTAATTTTTTTGCCTAATATGGTAAGAGAAGAGCTGGCATGTTTTGCACTAGGAGACCAGCACAACTTGTGAATGACCAAGCCACATGCTGCCTACCTACCAGACATGTATGGTAGCCCATGCAAAGTCCAAGAAGCTTCTAAAAGAACAGCAGAGGGGTCTAGTCAAGCATTCAGTAGGCTACAATGTGTGGCTGGTGGAGCTGTGTTTGGCTTGCTGGGTCATAAGTTGGACAAGCCAGGAAAGGTCTTCTTTGGGTTGCCAAAGTGTTAATTACTTTCAGTAGAAGGGTGGTGACAGTGAATTGCAAAGGAAGAAGGTGATTATATATCTGAGTCAGGATGTGAAACCAATAAATGGGTCTGAAACATACGTCACATTCAATTGGTTGTTCCCTGCACTAAATAGTTCAGAATGCCTGTCCCCCCCACCCCCACCCCCAGTCTCAATGAATGCTGGAATGAGAATATATCAATTTCTTGTAATTCATGGTCTTCTCCATTTCCCCCAAAGAATCTGATAGTAATTCGGAAGGGTCTGATACTGAAGGATCTGAAGATGATGAGGAAGAAGATGATAAAGAACCCGATGAATCAGAGACTGATACGGAAGGAGAGAAGTCTTCGATTAAATTGAACAAAACGGCATCCTCTGCCAAAAGCTCTTCCATCAGTCTTGCAGCTTGCTCGACACCACTTAATATCCAAGCAGCAAAGACACCGAGTTCTGCTCCAGCTGCATTATGCCCCGAGTCTCCCTCACCAGCTTTTGTGGGCACGCCTTCTCCTGGGCTTTCCTCAAGTACCCACAGCGGTATTGCAGTTTATTTTATATAACAAAATCCCTATCTATATCAGAGAGATGCTTTTCATTGAAATCTAGAAGGGTTCACACCTGTTGAGCCCAGCCTTCCGCAACCTAGTAGTACCTTCCAGATGTTGTTGGACACCCAATTACCATCAGCCCCAGCCAGCATTGCCACATGTTAGAGCACCAGGTTGTGGAAGGCTGGTTTAGCACTTCTTAGAATCTGGCCTTGCTTCAATTAAATTATTGCATTTCATCACTACTTAAGATTGTATATTCTGATACAAAGATGAATCTCTGTACTGGGAAAAGAGTGATCTTCACCATGTGTGAATGGCAGAGTGTCGATGTCACCCCAGATAGATATAGTGGGAAATTGATACAAACCATGACTTCCAATAAGTCAGTACTCCCCTTTCCCCCACAGTGATTTCCCTGTTCTCCTTGTAGGCTACCAGACTTGGCTCTACTTATTCCATATTATCCTCTTCCTTTCCATCCCAAGACTCAAGAGAAGAGAAGCATCAACTGAGTCTGAATTGGTTCTGCTCTTTGGTAGAGCATTGCAAATTAAGACCTGGATACTGTATTTGCCAAAGGGCTTGGACAGTGTTGGGGATTCTCCAACGTTGGATCCACATGACAAACTTTTAAACAACCCAGGGAATGTTTCACTGTAGAAACAGTGCAGTACCATTACATTATCCCCAGGAGTTGCCTGATTCTGAAACACAAATGGGGCTGTTTCTTTAATAGCTTGATAGGCATTGATACTATGCCTGATTCACTTCTGCAAAACATGGTAATGGCCACTGACTTGGATAGCTTTAAAAGAGGATTTGACAAATTTGTTTTTACCTGGAGATACCAGGATTTGGGGTTGAACCTGTTACCTCTGAGCCATATAAATTCCTATGAAAGGTAGGCATTGGTTAAGGGCTTCCTCAAAGTACGTGGAAGAAAATTCCACTCAACTATATTAATATAAGCAAGTGTGCTTATGGTAACGTTATTGGTTCTCCTTCATTCTACTAAAACGAGGCTCATTCAGGTTGTAAAAGGGAGCTGTAAAGAAATAGTTTAGTACACTGACATCCTGTTTCTAGACACAAATAATCACATTCCTCTGAACACTGACTGCAGATGAGCCCTTATAGGTGTGCAACAACATCAGTGTGTGACCTACAAAGCTTTCCTCGTCTCTCTCTTCCCCTAAAAACAGTGTGCACAGAGCACAGAGAATTGTCAGGCTCCTTTTAGGGGGGAAAATAAAAATGGAGATTCTGCTGGGTTAGTAATGAGCTCCCCTGAACCGTGGTAGTAAGGACCTTCCTCCTTGTGTTCATCAGATTCCCCACCCTCCCAGTTTCTCATTTAGCTGCTTTTTTACCTACCAATCCCCCACTCCTTTTTGAATCTTGGTGTGTGTGTGTGTGTGTGTGTGTGTGTGTGTGTGTAAAAATCAGATTAAAAAGGGAAAGTCATTAAACAGGAAAATGTCTTTACCAGCCTGGGACACAAATCTGCAAAGTGTGCCCATTGAATGAAAAGAAGTTCCATGGAAATCAATTGAAATGCTCTGTGTCATGTGATGTTCTGCCTTGTAACATCAGCAGTTCAACAAGCCGCAGGCACCCTGGGTTGTACTGGGGACATGATCTAGAAACAGGGTTTCTTTTAGTTCACTTAAACATGCTAACATAAGTGATTTCAGGACTGGGGTGTTGATCTATAGTTCGGTTGACGGTTGTTCCTAAATCTGTTGATTTCTTAAATTCTCTGGGTAAGAATAGACTCTAGCAATTGTTAGCGAATTGTGTTCTGCTCATTTCTTGGATTTTTGCAAGACACGGGTTGCAAGGAGAAAGCAAGTAAAGGGGTATAAACAGCCTCTGCTGATTTGTTCTTTTTGTTAAAAAAATAGCAGAATATATTGCAGAACAAATAGCAGAACAATTACACTTGTAATTTGGGTTTTCTGTGTTCTAAAATTAATCCATTAAATCCTATTTAAGGTACTTCAAAAAGGCGCAGAGTCACAGATGAGCGAGAACTGCGCATTCCTCTGGAGTATGGGTATGTAAGATACAATTTTGAATTAAACTTGTGAAACCAGTTTCTTGTAATGTAGTAACATTCCTAAAGGTAGTGATTTTGCAATTTGTTTGGACCATGATGAGTTGTTATTAACACTGTAGACAAAAGTACCCTGGCAAACGCAAGTTCCCAGGCCCATGTTTTCCACAGTTACATGAAGAAAGTGTGAGAATTTGTGGGTAGGAAGGGGCTTAACCCAAACCCACATATCATCTCCCGAAACCCATTTTTCTCTCTAGCTCATTTGTCACTTTTGGAGTCTGAACTGGGAAATGATTCAAAGCAACCTGCTGGACTATTTAAATTGAGATTATGGGCATTGGAACGATTAAGCCACTACCCTCTGGCTGATGCACCTCTGCAAGTCTCCCTGCTCCCCCATTTGCCTTTTGTGGGGGAAAACAGAGTTGGGTTTCATATGTTTTCTTTGCAATGTTCAGTTCTGAATCTTCACCAAGAAGCTGAGATCTCGTACTGTATTAAGAATCAGACCCAAACCCCACAAATCACAGAATATGTTCCGGGAGTGAGGGGGGAGGTACAATTGCTCATACATAATTTTCTGAAGAGGTGAATTTCCCCCCAGAGAGTCATAAAGCTTCCTGTGATGCTTTGTGCTTTGCGTCGGCCATCCCTTTTTGTTTCTCTGAGGGGGCTTGCCAAGTTTGGGATGGGTTCCAGTAACTAAATTATTGGCAAGACATGTTAGTCCCTGCTGTAGAAGTAGAGCATCCGCTATTTTTCAAGCCTTCATTCTACTTACTGACATTCACCATTGCTTGCATCTTGCCCACATCTTTCTTCCTACTGCAGTCACTAGGTAACGAACTGCATACAATGTTTTCCTTTGGCCTTTCTCAGAGGCTTCTCTCTTGTGCTACGTCTCACTAGGCCCTGGCTAAGGATCAGTTTCCAACACCTCAGCTTTCTCTGCATCCTACAACTGAAATCTGAAACAGCAGCTCACATTGTACTCTTTCCTTACATTGAAACTTTCCTGATCTGCTTCAGCTGTTCAGATTTCACACACACTCTTTTCAGTAAGCTGCACTGTAGCAGTTGTTTGCCCTCAAGGGGGAACCTCTGGCCTTTGGGTGACTGCAGGGGCACGTTTTTCCTGGTGCTTAAATTTCTGCATGCTACAATATGCCTAGCTCTGTTTAATAGCCCATGTGACTTGGGGAGTCATGGAATCATAGAATTTTAGAGTTGGAAGGGACCCTGAGGGTCATCTAGTTCAACCCCCTGCAATGCAGGAATTCTGCCCACAGCCGTCCCTGGGTAGGCTCGAACCACCAGCCTTCTGGTTGACAGCCAGACACACTGACCTATTGCGCCACAGGCTCTCTGACCTTCCTGGTACTGTAACTCACCTAGCGCAATGCCATTAACTCTGACTAGCAGTGACTCTTCCTTGTCTTTCTCAGCCAAACCACTTGAGATTATTTCAACAGGAAAAGCTAAACTAGGGTAGCCAATTTGGTGCCATCCAGATATTGTCAGACTCCAGTTCCCACCAGCCATAGTCAGCATGGCCACTGGTCAGGAATAATGGAAGTTGTGTGTTCTTAGATTCCAACTTGGTTCTTCAGTTTACAAATATTATGACTGTCACCATCACAGCTTATTGGCAAACTGGGAACCTGGTTTACTTAGGAACGTAGGAGGCTGCCTTATACTGAATTAGACAATTGATCCAGCTAGCTCAGTATTATCTCATCTGAGTGGCAAAGGCTCTACAGGGTTTGAGACAGAGGCCTCTCCCTGTTGTACCTGGAGATGCCAGGAATTGAACCCAATACCTTCTGAATACAAGGCAGATGCTCTGCCACTGAGCTACAGTACACCTCTAAGTGGATATATTACCCAGAAGTAAGTATGATTTAACTCCGTGACTCTTACTCTCAGGAAGTTGTACATAGCATTACTGCTGTGCATTCCAATTCTATGCATGCTTGCTTTGAGGTAAATTCAAAGGGACTTCCTCCCAACATATGTGTTGCTATAATGCTGTGCCTCTTTAATTTTATATATAATTTTTTTTTAATTGCAGCTGGCAAAGAGAAACAAGAATAAGGAACTTCGGTGGCCGCCTTCAAGGGGAAGTAGCATATTATGCACCATGTGGCAAGAAGCTAAGGCAGTACCCTGAAGTAGTAAAGGTATATTTTAAACGTTATGCTTTCTGGTTCTTATTAAGCATGCACATAATTATTTAAATGAACTTTTTCCTCCACTAAAGTTCCTTGATACAAAATGGCCTGTGATGTGAGGCTAATGTACCTTAAACCTGCCTCTAAAATGACCTCTTGTAAATTCGTATCCCCTTGCCAGAATATGCACCAAAAAACCCCACACACATTTGACTTCTCTCTAACATTAGCTTGTACATCAAAGCTGGGTTGTAATGACTTAAAACCTGAAGTGGAAAAATATGTGATTTTTTCAGTATCTCAGCAGAAATGGAATAATGGATATCTCAAGGGACAATTTCAGCTTCAGTGCAAAAATAGGAGTGGGTGACTTCTATGAAGCCAGAGATGGACCGCAGGTATCCGCTTTTTAAAAAAGTAAAGTCTTTGATCCAAGGCGTAGTATCATAAATCTTAAGTGAAATATTTTTTTTACTACACTCTGGAGCATTGCTATTGTTAGCTGGTTCATTCTTGCAGTCATATGTGTGACTTTATGATAGTAGTTGTGAATGACTGAGCACCTGACGCCTGGAAAGTGCTGGAAAAACCTTCACAATTCATTATCACCTTGCCAGGTGCTCAGCATCTCGCAGAATTAAATTTGGAAACTGCAGTCATCTAGTTATCATTGGCCTTTGAGGTTGAGTATATATTCCAGTACTCGAATTACAAGTCCACACTCCCCCCTTTGCCTTTTAGGTGGGCCCTCTTTTCAGAAGGCCGTACAGTATATGGGAAGCATGATTCGGCTAAAACTGGGAGGAGTCAGGGGGTGGGGCTTATACATTTCATTTTAAAATGTCTCCTCTTTTCTCTGTAATTTGAGCACTGGTATATCAGTTTAAATGCTTCTGAGAGCAACTTTGTTATTTCATATATGTGGTAATTGTAAGTAGCTGTGTCACATACACATGTTTTTTCTTTAGCTGTCTCTGTGGTGTTGGCTGAAATATAGAATTAAACATAGAGTTGTTTGTTCAGTGTGGAGAATGTATGATGAATTCTGCAAAGTCTACATAAATAAGACTGGGGAGGGGACAATAAACCCCAGGGAGGATATGATAGATGTGTGTTTTTAAGGACATTTTTGTGTGTGTGTTTCATCTGTGAGACACTGTTCTCTGTTTTAGCTAACATGCAGCATGATCCTTTGCAGGTTAATTTGGAAATTAAGTCCCACAGAGTTCAATGAGGCTTACTCTCACGTGCACATACACCGGATTGTAGTTGTAAGGATATACGTGTGTCCTCCTCCTTTCTGTCTTACCTTATTTGGACTTCTCTAACGGGAACCTTTTCTTAACCTAAATGTGCCTTTGTGCACCCTATACTTTGTCTTACATCACTTACTACTTGCATAATTGAGTACATAACTTCTTTCTGTGTAGTGCCCCACAGAGGACCTTAAGGTCCATATACAGCAACACCCTAGAGGTCCCGGGCCCTAAGGAAGTTAGATTAGCCTCAACCAGAGCCAGGGCCTTCTCAACACTGGCTCCGGCCTGGTGGAATGCTCTGTTTCTTGAGACCAGGGCCCTGTGGGATCTGATCTCTTTCCACAGGGCCTGTAAAACAGAGTTGTTCTACCTGGCCTTTGGCTTAGAATCAGTTTGATTCCCTCCCCCTCTTTCTTTTTCCTTTCTCCTCCTATGAAGAGATTGCACCCTAATGTTTTAATGCTGTATCTTAATCTTTTAAATTGTATTTTAATCAACTTGTTTTTATTATTGGTTGTTAGCCTCCCTGAGCCCGGTCTTGGCTGGGGAGGGTGGGGTATAAATAAATTATTTATTTATTTATTATTATTATTATTAGGCAGTATTTCATTCCTTATAGTTTGGGAATATGGGATCTGTATATGGTCTCCCCCTTTTTTAAGGCAAGTTTCCCACAGGTACAAACTAAGTGTGTGCAGATACCTGCCAAGTGCTCCCAAGTACTACCCTGAACTCTTGGAGCAATTTGCTCATGGCTCTAGCCTGCTACACCCTCCCCACATAGGGCACACCCTACAAAGCCAGGTGTTGCCAAAAACAACATGAAATGGTGCAGAACCACACACTGTCTCAGTTTTTGTCCAGTAGGTGAAGGAGAATTGAACAATACGGCTTCCACTGCTAGTGCTCAGTCCTCTAAGTGGTCAGTAGAGCATAGCTGTACATGTAAGTCATTGCAGATATTGGGGCTAGTTCACATAAACAGCCGATGAGGAGGCAAACCTGTTTCTTGACAACTTCAGACTACAAATTGGGGCTCACCTGACTGACGTTTGTCTATTCAAAAACCTCTCTACTGATATAAAGCCAACATGACAGGGAAAAAGCATGGCTAGAGCATATCTCCTTGACATGCAGTTTTATTTTGTGGAGGGGTTTTATTGTTGTTGTTTTTTACAGTGAGGAATATTCACAGAACAAGTTTGCCACCTCATCTTCTGTTTTAAGAGAACAAGGCCTCAGGGTATAGCTGTACTGCTGCAGCTATAGCAGTCATTGTTTCCTTAATGAGGAACTTTAATTCTGGGAGCAAGGCTATAGATTTTGACAGCAAATTCACAGAATCCCCACCAACTACAGTTCCCAGGATTCTGCACAGAAAGCCATTATATAAAAATTATCAAGTTACCCTGAGGACATAGCATCGCTACACATTGGTGGTAGTTGGGTTTCCCCCTTGTTTTTACTGTCATGGATTCACCCAGGCAGCCATGGAGATTATAGCGGTGTATAATATTTGCAGTTGGTTAATATTTCGCAGAAATATCTCGGAACAACAATTCCTAATTCTCCTTGGGGAAAACTATGGCAGTTAAAATTGGGATGAAGAAGGATAATAGATCATGGTTTAGTCAGTTTGGCTTATAGATTGCAGTCTGGATACGTTAGTGTACTGTTGGGACCATTTGATAAGTTTCCCTTAACAAATTACTCACCATGTACTTTTTCAATTAATTCCTTCAACATTTCTTGCCAAACTCCTATGCATTATGAGTCTGAGTCTTCTTAAAATCAAAATAAACTCAGTATTCTGTCTGCTAGGATGCATGGCCGCAGTGTTATTAGACACACCCCAAATTATTAGCTATCCTTGTGCAGGGTTCCCTGCATTGAAAGTTGTGCGTAGAGTACTTTGCCTTCTGAAATGCTCCCCTAACAACTCTGTGTTATTGGACATTGGAAAGAGTTCTGCGCTAATAAATGTTACGTGTGCAAGGGGATATGAGGGTTCCAGGTAATCTTTCTTCCAGTTTTGATTAGTAGAAACGGTTGCACACCAAAAAGAAAATATGTTAGATGTCTCCATTGAAATGACATTACCATACAAGCACATGTACTGAAAACCAGGAGGACAATTCTATCAAATTGCTTTTAGATTTCTTCCCAAGGAGACTCTCGCTGTCTAGTTCTTGGTACATCATTGGTTAGATTTTGTCAGACGCACATTTAGATCGATTCCAGCCAGGCAAGCAAGATTAGCCTTCTGTTTATTCAGGGTGATAGCTCTGAATTCATGACCCTTGTTTTCACTTTGGGTGGAGGCAGGAGCCATTTAAGAACCCTGGAAAATATGAGAACAGGTGCATTAGAGTTAGAATGGAGCAATACAGAATATGAACTTTGGAAAACACTAAATGAAGGTAAGTAACTCTTCAGTGTTAGGGAACTTTTTATTGAAATGTGTGTGCGTTAATGAGAAGTGCAACGTGCTTCATTCAAAATAGCAGCTTATTTTTTTTCTACAGTGTTTGCTAGCATAAATGTGCTTGTTGTACATGCTTTCATATATGTCTATATATGTGTGACTTCTACAAGCCCCAGCTGGTATTGCAAACCGCATTTGTTACTGTGTGTGATGGGATTACTGAATCACTGCTCTTCGTCACCAGATTACCAACTCTTGGTAATCTATCCTTGTTCCCAGTTACACGTGAGTTACCATGCTTAATTTTAAAGCACACAAATTAACTTTGGAACGATGGACTCCAATGTAATTAACTTCAAATCAAAGGTATGCAAGGTATTACCCCTTTTGTCCTAATTTTACTTTTACCAGCGTTTGGTTTCTTTGGTCAATTTGTATGCTTCAAAATGTTGAATATGAGATTATGCAATAAGTGAACTCAACTCAGGAAATGAGAATTGTGTGTGGAAGCAGAATTCTGCTTGTGCAGCTGGTGCACAGCACAATCCTATATGTATTTTACTTGGAAGCATCAGCCCCATTGAATTCTAACTGTTGCAGTACCAGGTGCTCATGCACACTGCAATGCTCATCTGAGCCTCATTGGGTTGGATGTGTGTTTTTGGTACAGGGAGGGATCGAATGAATGAGTATAAATTTAGCCTGTTGTTGTTACAGTTTACTTATCCAAATACGGAAGTCTTGTAAGGCTCCCTTTCTTTAGAAGGGAGCTTGGTAGCCGGCAGATTGTGTTCTTGGTTCTAAGGTTAACAGTGATAAATTACCGTATTTTTCGCCCTATAGGACGCACTTTTCCCCCTCCAAAAATGAAGGGGAAATCTGTGTGCGTCCTATGGGGCGAATGCAGGCTTTCGCTGAAGCTTGGAGAGTGAGAGGGGTCGGGGCGCACCGACCCCTCTCGCTCTCCAGGCTTCAGGAAGCTATCAGCAAGCCTGGGGAGCCCGCGGGAGT